TACATCACCATGTGTCCCCGGTGTGTCAGGAGACTCACATAGTGATGTCTTCTCTACAATCACCATGTGTCCCCGGTTGGTTGTCAGGAGACTCTCAAAGTGATGTCTTCTCTACATCACCAGTTCCCCGGTTGGTCAGGAGACTCACAAAGTGATGTCTCTCTACATCACCATGTGTCCCGGTGTGTCAGGAGACTCTCTAAGTGATGTCTCCTCTACATCACCATGTGTCCCCGGTGTGTCAGGAGACTCTCTAAGTGATGTCTTCTCTACATCACCATGTGTCCCCGGTGTGTCAGGAGACTCACATAGTGATGTCTTCTCTACATCACCATGTGTCCCCGGTGTGTCAGGAGACTCACTAAGTGATGTCTTCTCTACATCACCATGTGTCCCCGGTGTGTCAGGAGACTCACAAAGTGATGTCTTCTCTACATCACCATGTGTCCCCGGTGTGTCAGGAGACTCTCTAAGTGATGTCTTCTCTACATCACCATGTGTCCCCGGTGTGTCAGGAGACTCTCTAAGTGATGTCTTCTCTACATCACCATGTGTCCCCGGTGTGTCAGGAGGACTCACAAAGTGATGTCTTCTCTACATCACCATGTGTCCCCGGTGTGTCAGGAGACTCACAAAGTGATGTCTTCTCTACATCACCATGTGTCCCCGGTGTGTCAGGAGACTCACAAAGTGATGTCTTCTCTACATCACCATGTGTCCCCGGTGTGTCAGGAGACTCACAAAGTGATGTCTTCTCTACATCACCATGTGTCCCCGGTGTGTCAGGAGACTCTCTAAGTGATGTCTCCTCTACATCACCATGTGTCCCCGGTGTGTCAGGAGACTCTCTAAGTGATGTCTTCTCTACATCACCATGTGTCCCCGGTGTGTCAGGAGACTCTCATAGTGATGTCTTCTCTACATCACCATGTGTCCCCGGTGTGTCAGGAGACTCACTAAGTGATGTCTTCTCTACATCACCATGTGTCCCCGGTGTGTCAGGAGACTCTCATAGTGATGTCTTCTCTACATCACCATGTGTCCCCGGTGTGTCAGGAGACTCACAAAGTGATGTCTTCTCTACATCACCATGTGTCCCGGTGTGTCAGGAGACTCACTAAGTGATGTCTTCTCTACATCACCATGTGTCCCCGGTGTATCAGGAGACTCTCTAAGTGATGTCTTCTCTACATCACCATGTGTCCCCGGTGTGTCAGGAGACTCTCTAAGTGATGTCTCCTCTACATCACCATGTGTCCCCGGTGTGTCAGGAGACTCTCTAAGTGATGTCTTCTCTACATCACCATGTGTCCCCGGTGTGTCAGGAGACTCTCTAAGTGATGTCTTCTCTACATCACCATGTGTCCCCGGTGTGTCAGGAGACTCACTAAGTGATGTCTTCTCTACATCACCATGTGTCCCCGGTGTGTCAGGAGACTCACTAAGTGATGTCTTTTCTACATCACCATGTGTCCCCGGTGTGTCAGGAGACTCACTAAGTGATGTCTTTTCTACATCACCATGTGTCCCCGGTGTGTCAGGAGACTCACTAAGTGATGTCTTCTCTACATCACCATGTGTCCCCGGTGTGTCCCCGGTGTGTCCCCGGTGTGTCAGGAGACTCTCAAAGTGTCAGAGAATAAGACCCTCTCTTTTTTCCTCCATACCCAGCCAGACCCTCAGTGAGGTTAATAATAATGTTAATAAAGTAGTACCGTGTGTCTGGGTGGTGATTCGCCGCTGGGCGTATGTAGCCAGACCCTCGCTCAGCCACATCTCCTCCCAGCTGGCGTTGGTCACGGCGTTCCCGAACCAGCCGTGGGCGATCTCGTGCACGACGTCGATCACCAGGAACTCGCTGCTCTCCAGGATGGAGGCGATGATGAAGATGAGGCACGGGTTCTCCATGGCAACGATGGGGAAGGAGGGGGGGAGGAACACGATGTCACACCTGAGGGGGGGGGGATGAGGTATCAATATGAGGTGTGACCGTTGGTCTGTCAAATGATCATATCAGCATTTATTATTATTATTATTATTTTCTACTTTCTTGTCCTTTCATTTGTATTGTCATGCTGCTGCGACACAAACACTTCCTATTGAGATCAATAAAGTACTTTCTGTCTGATCTGATCACATATAAGGATATATGATGGAGTTTGACTCTGTTAAATAGTACTTTTAGTCTTGTGTGTGTGTAAAGATGTGAAGGGCTGTTATTCCACGGGGGGTCAAAGAGATTAGCCAATGGGTGAAGGGCTGTTATTCCACGGGGGGTCAAAGAGATTAGCCAATGGGTGAAGGGCTGTTATTCCACGGGGGGTCAGAGAGATTAGCCAATGAGTGAAGGGCTGTTATTCCACGGGGGGTCAGAGAGATTAGCCAATGGGTGAAGGGCTGTTATTCCACGGGGGGCCAGAGAGATTAGCCAATGGGTGAAGGGCTGTTATTCCACGGGGGGCCAGAGAGATTAGCCAATGGGTGAAGGGCTGTTATTCCACGGGGGGCCAGAGAGATTAGCCAATGGGTGAAGGGCTGTTATTCCACGGGGGGCCAGAGAGATTAGCCAATGGGTGAAGGGCTGTTATTCCACGGGGGGTCAGAGAGATTAGCCAATGAGTGAAGGGCTGTTATTCCACGGGGGGTCAGAGAGATTAGCCAATGGGTGAAGGGCTGTTATTCCACGGGGGGCCAGAGAGATTAGCCAATGGGTGAAGGGCTGTTATTCCACGGGGGGCCAGAGAGATTAGCCAATGGGTGAAGGGCTGTTATTCCACGGGGGTCAGAGAGATTAGCCAATGGGTGAAGGGCTGTTATTCCACGGGGGTCAGAGAGATTAGCCAATGGGTGAAGGGCTGTTATTCCACGGGGGGTCAGAGAGATTAGCCAATGGGTGACGGACTGGGAGTTTCATGGTTTAAGGGTGGGATGTTTCGATGAAGCCTCAGAGAGTGTAAGGGTGGGACCAGTTGGACACAGAGAGACTGTGAGCAGAGCTTCTCTCTCTGAGGGTGAAGCTGCTCTGTTCCTGCATTTCACTTTATATTGACTCTCTTTATGACTTTATTAAATATAACAAAAGACACCATGAATCATCTCTCAGTGTCTCTTGCTCTGAGCTCACCTGCCCCACAGGTAGGGTCCGAACAGCTGCTCAGCGACGGCCAGCCAGCGCTCCACGCTGCCGCCCAGCTTCTGCACGGCCACCGGCAGCAGGCAGGGCTCGGCCCACACCCGGCTCCTGACACAACCAGAAGAGACCAGTGTCAACCAGTATAGACCAGTATAACCAGGGAACACAAGGGAACAGCAGTAGAGACCAGAAGAGACCAGTATAAACGGTGTAAACCAGTGTAAACCAGTATAAACCAGTTTAACCCAGTATAACGCAGTATAAACCAGTATAACCCAGTATAACCCATTATAACCAGTATAACCCAGTATAAACCAGTATAACCCAGTATAACCCAGTATAAACCAGTATAACCCATTATAACCCAGTATAACCCATTATAACCCAGTATAAACCAGTATAACCCAGTATAAACCAGTATAACCCAGTATTACCCAGTATAACCCAGTATAAACCAGTATAACCCAGTATAAACCAGTATAACCCAGTATAAACCAGTATAACCAGTATAACCCAGTATAAACCAGTATAACCCAGTATAACCCATTATAACCCAGTATAACCAGTATAACCAGTATAACCCAGTATAAACCAGTATAACCCAGTATAACCCAGTATAACCAGTATAACCCAGTATAAACCCAGTATAAACCAGTATAACCCAGTATAACCAGTATAACCCAGTATAACCCAGTATAAACCAGTATAACCCAGTATAAACCAGTATAAACCAGTATAACCAGTGTAAACCAGTATAACCATTATAACCAGTATAACCCAGTATAACCATTATAACCAGTATAACCCAGTATAACCCAGTATAACCAGTATAACCCACTATAACCCAATATAAACCGGTGTAAACCAGTATAAACCAGTTTAACCCAGTATAACGCAGTATAAACCAGTATAACCAGTATAACCCAGTATAACCCATTATAACCAGTATAACCCAGTATAAACCAGTATAACCCAGTATAACCCAGTATAAACCAGTATAACCATTATAACCCAGTATAACCCAGTATAAACCAGTATAACCCAGTATAAACCAGTATAACCCAGTATAACCCAGTATAACCCAGTATAAACCAGTATAACCCAGTATAACCCAGTATAACCCAGTATAACCCATTATAACCAGTATAACCCAGTATAACCAGTATAACCCAGTATAAACCAGTATAACCCAGTATAAACCAGTATAACCCAGTATAACCCAGTATAACCCAGTATAACCAGTATAACCCAGTATAAACCAGTATAAACCACTATAACCCAGTATAACCAGTATAACCCAGTATAAACCAGTATAACCAGTATAACCCAGTATAACCAGTATAACCAGTATAACCAGTATAACCCAGTATAACCAGTATAACCAGTATAATCCAGTATAAACCAGTATAACCCAGTATAACCAGTATAACCAGTATAACCCAGTATAACCCAGTATAAACCCAGTATAACCCAGTATAACCCAGTATAACCACTATAACCCAGTATAAACCAGTATAACCCAGTATAACCCAGTATAACCAGTATAACCAGTATAACCCAGTATAACCCAGTATAACCCAGTATAACCAGTATAACCCAGTATAACCCAGTATAACCCAGTATAACCCAGTATAAACCAGTATAACCCAGTATAACCCAGTATAAACCAGTATAACCCAGTATAAACCAGTATAACCCAGTATAACCCAGTATAAACCAGTATAACCCAGTATAAACCAGTATAACCCAGTATAACCCAGTATAAACCAGTATAACCCAGTATAAACCAGTATAACCCATTATAACCCAGTATAACCCAGTATAAACCAGTATAACCCAGTATAACCCAGTATAAACCAGTATAACCCAGTATAAACCAGTATAACCCAGTATAACCCAGTATAACCCAGTATAACCAGTATAACCCAGTATAACCCAGTATAAACCAGTATAACCACTATAACCAGTATAACCCAGTATAACCAGTATAACCCAGTATAAACCAGTATAACCCAGTATAACCAGTATAACCCAGTATAACACAGTATAACCAGTATAACCAATATAACCCAGTATAACCCAGTATAACCAGTATAACCCAGTATAAACCAGTATAACCCAGTATAAACCAGTATAACCCACTATAACCCAGTATAACCCAGTATAAACCAGTATAACCCCAGTATAACCCAGTATAAACCAGTATAACCACTATAACCCAGTATAACCCAGTATAACCAGTATAACCCAGTATAAACCAGTATAACCAGTATAACACAGTATAACCAATATAACCCAGTATAACCCAGTATAACCAGTATAACCCAGTATAAACCAGTATAACCACTATAACCCAGTATAACCCAGTATAACCAGTATAACCCAGTATAAACCAGTATAACCCAGTATAACCCAGTATAACCAGTATAACCAGTATAACCAATATAACCAGTATAACCCAGTATAACCCAGTATAACCAGTATAACCCAGTATAACCCAGTATAAACCAGTATAACCCAGTATAACCCAGTATAAACCAGTATAACCCAGTATAACCCAGTATAAACCAGTATAACCCAGTATAACCCAGTATAAACCAGTATAAACCCAGTATAAACCCAGTATAACCCCATTATAACCCAGTATAACCCAGTATAAACCAGTATAAACCAGTATAACCCAGTATAAACCAGTATAACCCAGTATAAACCCAGTATAACCCAGTATAACCAGTATAACCCAGTATAACCAGTATAACCCAGTATAACCAGTATAACCAGTATAACCAGTATAACCAGTATAACCAGTATAACCCAGTATAAACCAGTATAACCCAGTATAAACCAGTATAACCCAGTATAAACCCAGATAACCAGTATAACCAATATAACCCAGTATAACCAGTATAACCCAGTATAAACCAGTATAACCCAGTATAACCAGTATAACCACTATAACCCAGTATAACCCAGTATAACCAGTATAACCCAGTATAACCCAGTATAAACCAGTATAACCACTATAACCCAGTATAACCAGTATAACCCAGTATAACCCAGTATAACCAGTATAAACCAGTAAAAACCAGTATAACCAGTATAAGTATAACCCAGTATAACACAGTATAACCAGTATAACCAATATAACCCAGTATAACCCAGTATAACCAGTATAACCCAGTATAAACCAGTATAACCACTATAACCCAGTATAACCCAGTATAACCAGTATAACCCAGTATAAACCAGTATAACCCAGTATAACCAGTATAACCCAGTATAACACAGTATAACCAGTATAACCAATATAACCAGTATAACCCAGTATAACCCAGTATAACCACTATAACCCAGTATAACCCAGTATAACCAGTACACTGACCGCGGGCCCACGTCCACGTGCTGCAGCTCTCCGGCCACCAGGGCCACCAGGTAGGAGGGCACTGGGAGCTCCATGGAGAACTGGAAGACCCGGTCCAGACTAGAGTAGGAGCTCCGAGACGCACTCATCAGAACCGTGATGCCTTCAGGGACCTGGGGAAGAACCACAACTATATCATACAAGAGAAGAAGAGTGTGTGTGTGTGTGTGTGTGTGTGTGTGTGTGTGTGTGTGTGTGTGTGTGTGTGTGTGTGTGTGTGTGTGTGTGTGTGTGTGTCTCACCCTCACTGATGCAGTGTACGTGCTCTTCACAGCTGGAGTGTCGAAGCAGGGGAAGAAGGATCTGTTGCAGACGGAGTGTCCCTGAGTGAAGACCAGAGGACGGGTCTGTCCACAGGTGAGCTCCGAGTCCAGCCACCAGATCTGCACACAGGTGAGCATCAGGTCCCACAATGCACTACACATCCCACAATGCACTGCAGATCCCACAATGTACTGCAGATCCTGCAGATCCCACAATGCACTGCTCCTCCTGGTTTATGGACTAAAGTAAAAATGTTTCCTTACCTTAAACCAGAGACTAAAAACCCTTAACTAGAGACTGATATATCCTCGCTCCCTTACCACGGGCCCGTCTGTGGTGCTGTACCAGAGACTGATAAACCCTTAACTTAAAGACTAAATGCCTCACTCCCTTACCGCGGGCCCGTCTGTGGTGCTGTACCAGAGACTGATAAACCCTTAACTTAAAGACTAAATGCCTCGCTCCCTTACCGCAGGCCCGTCTGTGGTGCTGTACCGGACCGTGATCTGGATCAGTCGGCCCGGCTTCAGGGCGTTCGGCAGGCTGATGTTCAGAGAGGAGCCGTAGTCTGAGAATGGGTCGAGGCGGTAGGTGAGGGACGTGAGACCCGTCTGACCCGTGAGACCCGGGACCTTACAGTCCACAGTCTGGATCAGCAGGGAGGGGTGGCAGTCCAGAACCAGGCTCTGGATCCCCGGCTGCAGCGGGACCAGGTCCAGAACCAGCCAGCCGCTCAGCTCCTTCACCGCGAAGTTGATCCTGAGGTCCAGGTGCAGGTGTTTCAGTGAGAAGCAGCTGAAGTTAGAGGCCGAGGCCACGTCCACCAGGGGGCGTCGCTGAGGGGGACCAGGAGCAGAACCTGAACCAGAACCAGAACCGGGACCAGAACCTGAGGAGGGACCAGAACCTCCTGCTGAGGGACCAGGATCTCCTGCTGAGGGACCAGAACCAGGACCAGAACCTGAACCAGGACCAGAACCTGAGGAGGGACCAGAACCTCCTGCTGAGGAACCAGGACCTCCTGCTGAGGGACCAGGACCAGAACCTGAGGAAGGACCAGAACCTCCTGCTGAGGGACCAGGACCTCCTGCTGAGGGACTATGACCTGCTGAGGGACCATAACCTCCTGCTGAGGGACCAGGACCTCCTGCTGAGGGACCAGGACCAGAACCTGAGGAAGGACCAGAACCTCCTGCTGAGGGACCAGGACCTCCTGCTGAGGGACTAGGACCTGCTGAGGGACCAGAACCTCCTGCTGAGGGACCAGGACCTCCTGCTGTGGCTCTGGACCCTGAGACCGGAGGGGATTTCCGGCAGCAGCACAGAGAGGTGGGGGTCTGCTGGATGTCCGCCATCCTTCTGCTAAACCAGGACTAACTGCATCCAGAACCAGCTGTCTTCAGGGGTCTTAGTCTTTATGCTTCCCACAAATGGAACAAACCTCCAGAAACCCTGAGTCTTCTTCACCAGCGCTGAGCTCTTTGAAGTCGAGTCTGAAACACGACTCTTCTCAGCTGCCGACCCAGAAGCCTTTTCACTGGTCTCAGCTCCTTCTGGATTCACAATGTGGTTTTCAAACTATTCTGTATCTCCTTTATGAATGTGTTACTCCATGTGTTTCTCTGCTGTGTTCCTTTCTGTTGTCTTCTTGTTAAGTGTTAGTGAGGATGTGAAGCACTTTGAATTGCCTCTGTGTCCTGTTACCTTCAGGAAGACTGACCCGGTCTGACAGTGAAACCAGTTTGAGACCAGAGACTGCCTGAAGTCCTCTATGTAAATCAGGCCAGACCACATTCAGAAACCAGGTCTAACAAACCTGAGTGAAGCACCTGTAAGGACACTTAAATAAAGAAAGGAGACCCAGGAATAAAACCAGAACCAGGTTTCAAACCGGTCTGTATGTGAAGAACATTCAGCTGAAACCAGACCAAGTCCAGACCGGCTGTAAACAGATAGGAACCAGAACCACCAAAACCCCCATCAAACAGATCAAACAGCAGTAAGGACACCTGTGATCCGGACCAGGTCTCAAACAGGAGCCTACGTTTAAAGGCAGATTTAAGAGTATTTAAAACTCAAATCAACAAAAACCTGAACCACATCCTGAATGTAACCCTCAGCTAACCAGACTGCATGAGAACCTGAACTGAAGACCTGTAGACCCTTTAGCCTCTCACAGGAACCACAACAAGCCAGTGAGTTGAATATAAACCTGGTCTAAACCCATAAAGTAAGAGGCTTTAAAGGGACACTTAAAGGCTGATTTGAGATAATTAAAAACTATATTCAACTAAACCTGAACTACATTAAGACCCCTGAACTTAACCCTCACGTATCCAGACTACATGTAGACCCTTAACCCTCATGTATCCAGACTATTTGTAGACCCTGAACCCTCATGTATCCAGACTATTTGTAGACCCTGAACCCTCATGTATCCAGACTACATGTAGACCCTTAACCCTCATGTATCCAGACTACATGTAGACCCTTAACCCTCATGTATCCAGACTACATGTAGACCCTTAACCCTCATGTATCCAGACTACATGTAGACCCTTAACCCTCATGTATCCAGACTACATGTAGACCATTAACCCTCATGTATCCAGACTAATTGGAGACCCTTAACCCTCATGTATCCAGACTGCTTGGAGACCCTTAACCCTCATGTATCCAGACTACATGTAGACCCTTAACCCTCATGTATCCAGACTGCTTGTAGACCCTTAACCCTCATGTATCCAGACTGCTTGTAGACCCTTAACCCTCATGTATCCAGACTACTTGTAGACCCTTAACCCTCTCACAGGAACCATAACAAACCCTCAGTGTGTCTTTAGACTGGGTTTAAACCATCACAAACCAGTGAGTTTGAATGTAAACCCGGACAGGAAGAGGCTTTAAAGGGACACTTAAAGGCTGATTAAAAACTAACTCAACAAACACACCTCAAAGCCCTTTTAGCCCAGGTTAGCTGCTGTGATTAGCCTCTTTAGCTCTTGTTAACCCGGTTTATAAACAGGCTAAATAACTAGCTAATTAGCATTAGCTCTGATTAGCTCCAGCAGACAGCGGCACTTCCTGAGAGCTGCGGCCGAATCCCTGCTCCGTTTCCCGGGCTCTTTCAGGGGATCGTCCCGGTGGTTAGCTGTTAGCTGTTAGCTGTGAGGAGACAATGATCCAGAGAGAGGGGCGAGAGGAGGCTCTGCTCCCAGAACACAGGAAGTCTCAGCCGGGGAGAGTTAGAGCAGACAGGGGGGGGGGGGCGCTGCGGAGCTCACAGTATTATTTTATTTATTTTTCTTAGATATTTAATTAAGAATGAACAAAAATGTTCCCAAATTAGGATAAAATATATCTATTTGTCGTTTTATATATTTTATTAAATCTACCTTTATTAGAAAACAAAATCATGTACAATCAACACCAAACAAATGAAAAACCAAAGATATATTTTAACGGGCCTATAATTCATCTTTATTCATGTTATTGCTATATTTTAAAGTTATAATAGATTTCTTAAAATCTTGTTTTTGCTCCTTTTCTCTCAGTTCATCTTGAACTGTGTTTCTGCTCCAGAGTTCACTGTGACGTCACCGAGGTATCAACCAATCAGCTGACAGCAGATCAGTTCAGAGAAAAAAACCATCTTCCAGGCTCCTGATTGGCTGCTAATGTTAGAGGGGGCGGGGCTTCAGAATAGTCAATTGTATTACCTTTCTCAAACCCTTTTTCCTCACGCTGTATATTAAGTACTTCATTAACAGAGTTTACATTTCACACACTGTTTAAATAGTTGTGATTAACCCTTTAAAGGACACCTATCATGCTATATTTAAATGATATATTGTAGGGCCATACCTATATAAGGTATATTTATAAGTTTCTGTTTTCAAAATACCAAACAGATGCATTTTAGCCATGCCTCATTTCGCTCTATGTGCTGTTTGCTGTCTACGGGTCTGATCTGTGAGCTGCAGCTGACCACGCTCAAATCTGGATCAGTTTTTATCAGATCCGTTGCAGCCCCTTTTTTAGAGATTTGGGTATGGAGGAAAATAGAGAGGGTTGTGTTTTCTGACACTTGGTGAGTTCCCTGGAACACCGGGGACACATATTCATGTAGAAAAGACGTACAAAGTGCATTTTGCATGATAGGTCCCCTTTAAGTAAAGTTTTGACCCAGATTGAATAACGTGAAGGAAAGATCAGACGGGACGCGGAGGACGTGAATCAGTTTTTATTTATCAGACGTTTCTTCTTCTTCTTCAGACTCGAGACGGGTACAGCATCTGAAACGAGAAGACAGGAAGTCAGACCCCGCCACAATAAAACACCTCGGAGACATCAGAGCTGCAGGGACACGCTTTCAGATGGCTAACATTATGGGATGTTTCAGTGCTGATGATGTGAAGAGCAACACGTCACCATTTACTACATTTACTAACTAAATGTATCCTGCTTAGATTATGTTACTGAGTCTCTCTCTGTGTGTGTCTCTGTGTGTGTCTCTGTGTGTGTCTCTGTGTGTGTCTCTGTGTGTGTGTGTCTCCATGTGCGTCTGTGTGAGTGTCTCTGTGTGTGTCTCTGTGTGTGTGTCTCTCCATGTGCGTCTGTGTGTGTGTGTCTCTGTGTGTGTCTGTGTGTCTCTCCATGTGCGTCTGTGTGAGTGTCTCTGTGTGCGTCTCTGTGTGTGTGTGTCTCTCCATGTGCGTCTGTGTGAGTGTCTCTGTGTGCGTCTCTGTGTGTGTGTCTCTGTGTGTGTGTCTCTCCATGTGTGTGTCTCTCCATGTGTGTCTCTGTGTGTGTCTCTCTCTCTCTCTCTGTGTGTGTCTCTGTGTGTGTCTCTCTCTCTCTCTCCATGTGTGTCTCTGTGTGTGTCTCTCTCTCTCTCTCTGTGTGTGTCTCTGTGTGTGCGTCTGTGTGTGTCTCTGTGTGTGCGTCTGTGTGTGTGCGTCTGTGTCTGTGTGTGTGCGTCTGTGTGTGCGCATCTGTGTGTGTCTGTGTGTCTCTGATTGAAGGTGTAACCACAGAGACGGTTAATCACTGAACGTGGTGATCAGTGTTTAAAGATCTGCTGTGAGGCCATGGAGAGGCAGTGAAGTGTGAACACAGTATTAAAGCCGAGAGCAGTGAATCTGGATGTTCAGACGGTGCGTTCAGGGACTGCAGGAGAACTCACCACTCTGATCCTGTGCCCCATGGCCTTGGCTGGCAGGTTGCTCCTGAACTTCGCTCTCACCATCCCGCTGCTTCCGTGCGCGCGAGTCACTTTGCCCCAGATCACACGCGTCTTATTGGGTTTACCTCCAGGGGTCACGGTGTTCCTGAGGACACAACCCAGGGCACGTTAACACACTATCATACACACTAAACAAGGACACACACACTTCAACACACTAAACAAGGACACACCCTTTAGTAGCCCTAATTGTTAGATCATGAGATGAGAATGTGTTTTATAATCAGCCCATGCTTTTATTGTGAAGGTCTCTAGTTGGCGTTTCCTGTTTTGCACACCTCTCCTCTCTCAGGTGTATTTTGAGTGACAGTCTGGGGGTCTCAGGTTGAAAACTGGAGATCATGCCCCACCCCCCCCCCCCGGCCTCTCGCTGCGTGCTGATTGGTTCTGTTGGATGACATCATCACTGGGCGCCTGCAGGATCTCTGTACAGACTCGCTGTGATGTCACATCCTGTTTGTGATGTCACTTCCTGTCTCAGCAGCTGCTGGGACCATCATGCAGCACTAGAGCATGCTGGGAGCTGAGGCCGGCAGAGGGGATTGTGGGAAATCAGACCTTTTACTTATCATCACCGACCCCCGTCTGATCGTCATTGCTCTGTTGCATTGTGGGAAACGTAGGCATGGGCTCCCTCAGGTATATTACTGTATTAGTCTTGCTCTGTTGCATTGTGGGAAACGTAGGCATGGGCTCCCTCGGTTATATTCAGGGTTCTTACACCTTTTCCAAAGTCAAATTCAAGCACTTTTCAAGCATTTTCAAGGTGCATTTTCAAGCTTTTCAAGCATCTTACAGCTGTTGTAAATTACATATTTATATACACATACTTATACTCAAATGATTATTTCCCTACCTCACATTAAATCAGATGTTCTTTATGCTATAAACAACCAAATGTGTTTCATAATAGCATTCTACATGAGGATGAAACATTAAAAATGTTAGAAAAGAAAACTAAGTTTAATATTTCAAAATGAGACCCATCTGTACGTAGACTGGGCATCCCATATAACCTGGCTGAGCCAATATAAAACAATCAGCCAAATAACTTTTCAATATATTATTGATTACTATTTTTGAGGTACTTTTAGGTTGGCAGTAAACACAAGTCAGAGGTACATGGTGTACTTGTACTCCACTACAGTTCAGAGGTACATGGTGTACTTTGACTCCACTACATGTATTTAATACCTTTAGTTACTTCACAGATGTGGATGAATGATGTGAAATATAACCAAGTGTTAAATCAGACTTTAGTTCCACCTGGAGTAAATCCACAAGCTACCCTGCAGTATACAAAGTCATTCAAACTAGCTGCTCCTTTACCAGCTTTGAGAACACTTTCATGATCAATCATTATAAAACATATCAGATATATTATTAGGGATGCTCCGATCGCCAATTTTGGAGCCGATCGCCGGAATCAGTATCGGCCGATACCGCTCTCTTTTCCTCTCTCCCCCTCCCTCTCCCCCTCTCTCTTCCTCTCTCCCCCTCTCTCTCTCCCTCTCTCTTCCTCTCTCCTGACAGCCCGTCAGTATCTCATGCAGCTCACTGATCCAGTAATGAGTGACCCGACAGTGAAGAATAAATATATGTATAACTAGTTTAGCTTGTTCCAGAGGTAGATAAAATAGCTAAGTGCGTTAGGTCTAACTCTTAATGTGTGTTCAGCTCCGCTCACCGGTCCGTCACAGCGGGTGGAGCTGCAGGATTTCTGCTTCACACACACGTTGCATACCGCTATTTTATTGTCATTTTCGGACACTTAAAATACTGCCAAACTGGTGAAGCCATTTTGGCGAGCTTGTTTTGCCGCACAGAGAAAAGTGTCATGTATTTTACATGCAACGATAGCCTAATCTAAAATGCTCTACGGCGTACCTTTCGTGTGGTGTGGCTCGTCAGCGCAGACTCTCGCATCGTTATTGTTGCACACTTTGCAGGAGGCTACTCTTGGGCTTGACCCTCGTCTTAGCCATGGCTTGGATTTGTCTTCTGCTAGCCAACGCTCGTTGAAACGGCAACCTCCTGGCATACTGTCATCTATCACTCTCATCAGAATGCCCAGAATGCTCTGCATTGCGCGGGAAGGCCGGAGCGGAGCTGTTTTATGTAAAAGCGAAGCAATTAAGCGCTCTCCGACTTCTTTATTTTCTTTTAATCTAAAAAGCGAAGTAAAGCATTTACAATTTCAAGCACTTTATCCCAAATTCAAGCACCATTCCCAAAATTCAAGCACTTTTCAAACCTTGAAAACACCTCGTACAATTTCAAGGATTTCCAGCACCCGTACGCACCCTGTATATTACTGTATTAGTATTGCTCTGTTGCATTGTGGGAAACGTAGGCATGGGGAGTTACAGACCACATCTGTTGCTCCACAGTTTGTGTACTTTAAAATGTTCCTCTTTAATAATACATTTATTTTGGGGGCGCCTTTCGTAACACCCAAGGACACCTGGCATAGGGGCACGATGAGAGAGAGGGTCTTCAGGCTCACGTGCTTTAGATGTAGTTTCAGAGGGGAGTCAGAGGGGCTGGAACGAGGACGTGGGGATAACTTGAAGCTAAGAAGACGCTCAGAATCAAACCAGAAGCTTTCTATTCAAGATCTGAGTTTCAACGACTCACGACAAACGAGTCAGACTGAAGTCATGTGACGGCCTGCTCAGGTGTGGGTCTGTCTCTGTGTGTGTGTGTGTGTGTGTGTGCGAGCGCTCACTTCTTGGCCTTGTAGACGTAGGCGCAGCGCTTCCCGAGGTAGAAGTCGACCTCTGTGCGGGTGTAGCAGCCCTCCACCTTCAGCAGGGCCGTGTGCTCGCGCTGGTTCCTCAGACCGCGCTTGTAGCCGGTGAAGATGGCCTTACTCCATAGTCTGAAACACAAACAATACATATTAAATATTGTTGACACTGAATGTCCTCTTCCAATAGAGAGTACCATGATAACAAAGGTATCCCAACTGTAGCTGTGTTCATGACAGCATGTGTGATGACCT